CTTCAGTCTTTTTCATGTCCTTACATTACCTTGGGGGTCTTTCTCCAAATTTTTCTCCTTTCAGTGATCTATAGCTTCAGGTGTCTCACAAAATGAAACACTGCCAGAGAACTTCCCTGGACACAGGAATCTGCTAATTCATAGTATTAAGCTTGTGCAATAGTTGTCAAGATATTTTTGGATACGCCAAATAACACCACTTTCCCTCCACTCCCAGTAATTCCTGGATATGGTAGGGAAGTTAGCACAGCTAAGAAACAACTCCAGATGCAGTGTATACCTGCTCTGTTTTGGAGAGTGTGGCATGCACAGAAGTTGTTCCAGACAAGCTGGCCTCAGTGCCAGTTACCTGTTTCAGCAACTAGCCTTTGGAGATACAGATCACAATTAAGCCTATTAAATAGGATCTTCCCAATGCCGTGTGCACCACAGGTGCATCATGTGCTCTTCCTGCACAGGAATGTGCAAAATGTGCATATGTTTTTTTTTTTAAGCTTTCAACATGCTTCCTTCAGTAAATCTGCTTTTCCACTGATTTCAAGTTCAAAATTCTATGTTCTTTCTGTATTCCTTAGCCCATCAACAGTAGTTATAAGCAATTCTATTCTCCTTCAGTGTATTAAATAAGCATAATATATAGCCATATACATCCATATTTCATTCTGACACATCAGAATGAAAAACATGCATTGCCACTAAGGATTTACTATTATTTATATTTCATATTGGTTATTTTCCTAAAAGAAGTTTCAAATGAAACAAAAAAAATCATAGGAATACAACTTCTATATACTAACTATCAATAGGAGCAGGATTAAGGTCAGACATGATTTCTTAAAAATGAAAAGTGAAATCCTTTTGGTACTGTACTTTAAGGTACTGCTATCAGTGTTAGCCTGTAAAAATAGGGTCCTTTTATCAAACTGTAAAACAAACTTTCCCTTCTTTAAGCCACTGATCACAACCAACCTTTATGCAACTAAAGGTTCATTAACAGCCAAGTAGAGATGTTTAAATGGGTCTTAGTGATTTAATACACTTTTCACTAAATTGGAAAAGAATATGTACTTAAATTGACTAGATTGCTTTGGAAATCATGACATGTGGTTATTTAAAAGGGTTGCTTTAATAAAAAAGTATAAAGAACTACATATGCTTAATAAAGGTGCTCTTTAAGAAGCTTACTGGATTTTTTTCAGGAAGCTCATAGCCATACTATTTTGAGTACTTGATATTCATTACTAAATTTATCCTTACAATTACTTTTGTGAGACAAACTTGTCATACTTCATACACAAGAAACTGAAAAAGATATCAAATGATTTGCACAAAGCCCAACAGTTGCATCAGAACCCAAGGCACTTGATTCTAGAGTTTTAAGTCCTCTTCACAAATACATATCTTAACCACAAGCCAGCCTTTCTCTTTGAAGCACTACAGCCCCCATTCACAGAGCTATTATCATGCCCACTTCATCAAAAAGATAGAGCACCAACAAGTATTTTCTTTGTTTAAAACAGTGAGATATCTATACATTAAATTTTTTCCTTACATGTGAACAATGGAAGCATCTTTAATGAAGTAATTGATAAAATTATTTCAAACTGTTCTAAACACCTTCCAGGCCATCTTAAATGACTAATAGTTGAAACAGACTTCAGCAAAATATGTCTCCTCTCCCTTCTACACAGCCTGTCACAAACAGAGAGTTGCCCACTCATTTAGAAGATGGCTAAATGAGCTCTTAGGCTACAAATCCTTAAGATGCAGTGAGCTGATTGTATTAGTCACACTCACTGCCAGAAACGGAAGAGTTCCTGCTTCTGACTGCAGGCCTCTGGTGCTTACTTTCTGCTGGCTCTGGTATTTCTTTGATCCTTCTGTGATCTGATTCAGCTTTCTAAAACATAACAGAAATCCAGCAGAAAGACTGACAAATTTCTCTTAAGTCAATGAATAGCAAAGCCTGAGAAGTACTAGAACTTGTAGGCAGAAGGCAGCAGGATTACCCAGTCCAAGCTGAAGGAGCAAGTCTTCCTCCTTTTGGCAATGAGAAAATCAGCTCGTCTATAGTCCAAGCAGATTCTGCACATCTTTGTATGCTTCAACTTACCGTCTGCCTTATGTTATCTTAAGTGGCCTCATTAAAAGGAAGCTACGATTTTTTTAGGAAATGGATATATCAGACCTAAGACAGAAGAAAGACCACTAAAAATCTGTAAATAAGGACAAGGAATTAAAACTGAGCTATAGCAAATATTTACTTACTGCAGAAAGACAACCTTGCATTGTAATAGTAACTGCAATAGGAAAACTATCAAATAAGCTTTGCCCAGTGGCTTTTATATAGCCCAAGACCACGTTACAGCTGACCAAGTAACTTTAAGTGACCAAAGCGCTCTGGCTAGAAAACCTCTTTTCTCACTTGACAGATTCTAGCTCTAAATTAAAAAAAAAAAAAAAAGAAAAAAGCTGGTACCATTGTAACTAGCATTAGTTCAGCAGCAGACCAATACACTTCCACAAATCACTTTATCATAAAGGTATCTGAAAAGGAGAGGAACAGCATACACAATTGAGGAAGTAACATTAGGTAACAAGCTTTTTGGGCTTGGATTGTTCAGATAACAGGTTTCTGGGGGTGGGACAGTTTTCTGTTGAGGAAGGCAGGGAGTGGTACACTGCATCTGATCCTGATGCACAGAGAAACTGTCTGGACCTTGATAGATCAGTTCTAAGAAAAAGAGAAGTATCCAGTATTCCATATGCTCCTTCCAAAGTTTTATTACAATACTTAAGAGTTCCTGCCATTTTTTTTATTCTGAACTCTTAACAAATACTTTAATCTTTTCATGGCCTGCATTCTCCATTCTCCCTTAAAGATGGATCAAGACTGTGGACACAATGAAAGAAGGCAGAAATACTGCTGTTCTTACCTTTGTAACACAGAAAAATGCATCAGTATGATTAATTACCGAACAAACTGTGATTAAAACAAGTTAATGCAATTTAATTGTCATTCCAATTACCATTAAACAAAAGTAACTCATGGCTTGTACTTTCATAGGACAGTATAGTGACAAAGCTAATTGCTCCATCTTCGAAGAACTGCTCCCTGTTTTTCCTATTTATTTTTCAGTAAGATGCTGCTGAAAGAGAAGCTTTTTGTTTTTGTACAAAGGCAACATGTCACTCATTTCAGTAAAACCTTCCAGTGACAATATCCAAATATCCTCGTCTCTATTCAGTTGTCCTGGTTTCAGCTGGGAAAGAGTTAATTTTCTTCCCAATAGCTCATAGTGCTCTGTTTTGGATTTAGTATGAGAATAATGTTGATAACACACTGATGTTTTTAGTTGTTGCTAAGTAGTTGTAGTGCTTATTCTCAGTCAAGGACTTTTCAGCTTCCCATGCTCTGCCAGCGGGGAAGGGCACTCAAATCTGGGAGGGGGCACAGTGAGGACAGCTGACCCAGACTGGCCAAAAGGATTTTCCCTACCATATAGTGGCATGCTCAGTATATAAAACTGGAGCTGGCCAAGGGGCTGGAATTGCTGCTCAGGCACAGGCTATTGATTACCGGGAGGTAAGCAATTGTTGCATTGTGCATCTCTTGTTTTTGCATATTCTGTTAACAGTGATATTATTTCCTCTTCCTTTGCTATTCTATTAAACTGCTTTTATCTCAACTCACAAGTTTTTTTCCAGTTCTCTCCCCCATCCCACCTGGGTGGGGTGGGGCAGGGAAGGTGAGCAAACGGCTGAGTGGTGCTTAGTTGCCGGCTGGGGCTAAACCACAACATAGGTTTATCTTACTTAATTTTTTTACTTAATATACAAAACAAGACAACCATTCAAGCAAAACAAAAACAAGACCAAAAATGTGCAGCTTACTTTGCAAAGACTGAATCTTTCATTGTCTGAAAAACACTGGTTTATTTCTTCTCCAGCATCTTAAAAGTTGACTTCATCCTGTGAAGAAGTACTTATTCTTTTGTAGCTTTTATGTTCCACAGCATACTTCCAAGTATGTATTCTAAGACAATTTACAGCCCTCCTAAGTGTTTGGTGGAACAAAATAAATGCATTAGAATTCATTTTGCTTCAGGTGTACTTCAGGTGAATGTTAAATTTGGAATCAAATATGCATTACCCATACTGCAAGGATACTGTTACCTAAGAAGTTAGCAATTTTAAAAATGGAATTTTATGCTAAAAAAAAAAAAAAATTACAGACCCCAAGTTGCTAATGGGGTTTGGTGGGTATTGCTGTCATTTTAATTTGCAAATGTTCACCTAGTGGAAAACAATCAACTCTTTCAACTTTCCTCTGAAGTTATTGTGTAGCTTGAAAAGATATTGCAGTACAGACACACAGGTGTGTTTAAAGAACAAGGTTTTTCCAGTGACTTAGCATACCTAGATAGCCATATACTTTGGAATACAATTTAAAAGATGAGTGGGATTTACCCTCCTACTCTAGTTTTAGGGTGTTTTTTTCATTTAAAAATTATCTGTATTTGGCCTCAAATCATACCAGTGGTAAGATGAATGCACAGCACACAGAAAACAGTAAGAACCGGAAGTGTTGCAGATGTGACACATATGATTTAGAAAGGAAAGATCCAAGATAAACATTCATCATGTTATACAGATACCTTGGATTTATAATAAACTTGACAGAGCTTAAAAGACTTTCAAGTGCAGGATGC